CAAAGATTCAAGCAATGGACATACATGGGACACATTTGCTCAGTGACTTGAAGAAGCAGCACTTACCTGGGCAGTCGGCTGTCGCCTTGAACGCGCTTTTCTTACAGCAGCCTCGGCACATGTTGAACACACATTTATTGCCCTGGGGTGGGGTGGGGGGTAAAGAAGCTCGGATCACTCACAATAAAATGACTAGTGTTTACTACAGTAAGCAACAACAATACGGCTCTGCCCATTCAGACCTTGGAAAAATACCATGAACTTGCGTATCAGGCAGTCACAGCTCAGTCTAACGAAGATGATATGTCACATGGGGCGAGCCCCAGCTATCAACAGTACCTAGAGAACAAAAACCAAAACCAAAAAAAGTATCCCAAACCAAAACAAACAAAAAAAATCCCAGCTTCAACTTCCGCAACACCATTTATGTGCTGGGCAGCCTGAGCTGCACAACACAAGCAGGTACGTGCCGTAAGTGCTTTGGCACAGCACTGTGACATTTGCTGCATGTGAACTTCTTGTAGTTCTCTCCAAAAGTAGGTGTGAAACATGGTGCCTGACATGCTTGCTACCATCTGTAGCTATACCTAAAGTAAATGTCATCACAGGAATTTTTTCCCTACTTGCAGCGTAAAATGTACCTAAGTACACATTAAAATATAATGCATGACCCTTAGGGGACAGCAGCAGTTGAGTATTGGAAAGCCACCAATCTGGGTGGCTACAGTGCTTTGGTTCCTACTTTGTTTTGTTCTCCTCCAATTCCATGACACAGCTTAGACACACATGATCTCGGGAAGAGAAATAAACGAGGCCCAGTCACAAGATTCCAAGGGCTGTCGGCACCATTACAATGATGTAAGAGCAAAACAAAAATGAGACTAAGCCCAGCTTCAGAGAGTCCTGTTGGCGCACCAAGCAGTGTCACCTGGATTAGCTATGAACCAGGGTGGCTTTGAAAGCAGGCCAGCTGAGTGCTCAGTGTTCTCTCAGCAATGAGCACAGCAAGAAATACTCTTTTTCCTGTAGCTGCAACTCCAAATTGAGCCCCTGGCTGCTGTTTTTAAGGTGCTGTAACTGTTACAAAAGGGAGCAACACAACATGCTGTGATGCTACTTTTTCAGCTAGAACACAAAATTATTCCTCGCATTTTACACCCTGCTTGCTAATATACCTTTCATGCACAGGTATATTAGCAGCAACAAATACACTCTGCTCATACAGCTCAGCAACATCTCCCTGTCAAGGAAACACCTATGGCCCCCCAGAGGAAACAAACAAAAAAACCAACCAAACAAGACCCCAACAAACTCTTTTCACATATAAAATACTTCAAGTTTCAAATATACATGCTATACACAACCTGGAAACCAATTTGTTCAACACTGCTGTTGGGTGAAAGTTGATGTGAATCTGCTAGCAAGAACAGAGCTGAGAAAAATGAGCTGCTCATTCTTCTGATTAGGGGCATAGATCCAAACCCAAGATACTGCTGCATGACACTTGCTACAGACTATACTGCCAAGACATCGAAAGTATTGGTATTAGTACACCAGTAACTACACCAGTTATTCAAATTCTCAATCCTTGCAGAAAAACACCACCCACCACTAACCCTAGTAAAAGGGGGGTTGTTTTGAATTTCACAGTAGATTATACCTCTGTAATTACTGGAAGTTTGGAGATTTGTTTCCAGGAGATCTTGGGAAGTTCATCTGATGCACTCAACTGTCTTAGTGATAAATATCCTCAGCAGTAAGACTGCACTTTTTTGGAAAGGAAGACAAATGATCTCAAAGACCCTTACGTATGTTACTGGTTTTTGTGCAGCACCTTAACCTCTGGTTATGGTTAATAGTTAAGAGGCTTTTTGCCCACGTATGAATTGACTGGTTTTTCCCCTACGTATCAGCAGGCCTTGGTATGTGTGCATTACTGAACAGTGGCATGGACCTACCTCAGGATTCAGAATCACAGAATAGTTTGGGTTGGAAGGGACCTTTAAAAGTCATCTATTCCAACCACCCTGCAGTGAGCAGGGACATCTTTCACTAGATCAGGCTGCTCACAGCCCTGTCCAACCTGACCCTTCCTGGGATGGGCCATATACCACCTCTCTGGGCAAACCCTGCCAGTGTTTCTCCACCCTCATAGTAAAAAATTACTTCTATATATCTAGTGTGAATCTGCCCTCTTTTAGTGTGAAACCATGACCTCTTGCTCTGTTGTAACAGGCCCTATTAAAAAGCCTGTCACCACCTTTCTTGTAAGTCTCCTTTCAGTACTGAAAGGCTACAATAAGGTCTCCCCGAAGTCTTCTCTTCTCCAGGCTGAACAACCCCAACTCTCAGCCTTTCCTCATAGGAGAGGTGCTCCAATCCTCTGACCACTTTTGCAGCCCCCCTCTAGACTTGCTGCAACAAGTCCATGTCTTTCCTGTGCTGAGGACTCCAGAGCTGGATGCCGTACTCCAGGTGCGGGCTCACTAGAGCAGAGGGGCAGAATGACCTCCATTGACCTGCTCCTCTGGATGCAGCCCAAGATATGATCGGCCTTCTGGGCTGCAAGTGCACGTTGCCTGCTCATGTCCAGCTTTTCATCCATCATCACCCCCAAGTCCTTCTCCTCAGGGCTGCTCTCAAGCCTCTCATCCCCGGCCTGTATTGATACCAGGGGTTGCCCCAGTCCAGGTGCAGGACTTTGCACTTGGCCTTGTTGAACTTCATGAGGTTCACATAGGCCCAGTTCTTGAGTTTGTCCAGGTGCCTCTGGAGGGCATCCCTTCCCTCAGGAGTGTCAACTGTACCACTCAGCTTCATGTCATCTGCAAGCTTGCTGAGGGCGCCCTCGATCCCACAGTCTATGTCACTGTTGAAGACATTAAACAGTACTGGTCCTGGTAGGGACCCCTGTGGGATGCCAATCATCAGCACTGTTCTCCTTCTGGACATTGAGCCATTGACCACTTCATGGTCATTTAATTTCCATTTAATAGAAACGCTCTATGGACCATTGGCACTGACTTACCTTCGGGTTTCCACATTGATCGCATTTTGCGTATTTGGCTAGAAAAAAAAGAGGGAGACCTGACTTCAGCAACGGTATTTTCATGTAGAAGAAAGTAAACCAACCCAAACAAAGCAGCATCAGCTTGGCACTTCTCTATACAGTACCTCAAAGAACAGTGCAAAGGTCAAGGACTCTTTAAAGTGCCTCTAAGCTAAATCCAAACATGGAAAATTTTAATCCTGAAGTCAAGTTTAAGAGAGGAGGACAACTGCTTGAAATGCACAGGCAATTTCAAATACGAGCAACAGCTCAAATCAGTTTGTAAAAGCATTCTGATCTCAAAAAGATGATTACAATGGATCAGTGACCTACTTCTTTAATCCTTGTTTTCTTTACTAAGGAACATAATCTGAATCACATTGCCTACAACCAGAAGTTCACAGTAATCCTCCCTATTTTAAGAAATTTCTACAACTACATGAACAAGGAAAATAAACAGTGGCAATTTATGCCAAATGTGGTATCAGCATCTTTCCATGCATTAATGCAGTAAATGGAACTTACGTTTTAAAGATGGATCAAAGCTTTTATTTGGATTTCTTAACTTCTTTTTTTGTTTATTCTTTGACAGAAGCTCTGAGTTTCCATCTTCCTCCTCTTCCAAAGCACGTTTTCCTCGCACACCTTTTTCACTGGCTCCATTCTCCTTGCATCTCTCCTTTGGCCTGAAACAATGAATATCATTTTAAATTGGCTGTAGTGAACAAGCGGGTGTTCCCCAGACACTGTTCTGGTTTATCAAAATCTGGGTAAACTCTAAACCTTTCTATTATGGCGAAATTACACAGAAGTGTTATTGCCCATAGAAGTGGAATAAAAAAAGTGAACTTTTTTGTTATCATTGGCTTTTAGTAACAGACACACATTGTCAAATGTATTGATTGAAAAGTCAATGAAAGTTGGCCAGTTTAATTAGTCAGGCACCTGTTCACCTGCTATTCCTAGGTTTTACTTATGTATTTACTTAAACATTTGTCTTGACACGCTCGTCAGCTCAATTTTAAGAACAGAAAGGGAGTAAGTTATCTGAAAAGTCCATCCATACAACACAAGCATCCTTTATAGAATACACTTTAGTTCTCATCTTTGCTACCCTGGCAGTTATCAGCAACATTCATGTTACATATAACAGTAAAGTACTGTCAGGTAGCATATTTGTTGCACATCAGGTTCTCTTTCTGCACTGCAGAGGAATTGCTGGTTTTTACTTTCCAGAGAGAGAGAAGGCTCTAAAGGAGAAGATGCATGCAATGAGCAACATCCCCATGAACAAAGTAATAACCCAGAAAAAAAGAAACGAGAACAAAACCAATCCAAAGTCTTAATTTATTTTCAAATTAATATAAGCTCCTAGAACAGAGTTGGGTGGCCCTGTACTGATAGGATGGGTGGGAAAGGCCTATGGGTCCCTGTCCGTGTTCAAATAACTAACTTACCCTGGCCTGATGTATGGCTGACAGATCCAGTGGAAGAAAGGCAACCCTTCTTTTGGCTTTTCTCCTTCTTTCTGATTAGCTATTTCTTCCTGCAGTATAGAGTTACAGTCAGTTTTCCTGGAGTTCTCAGACAACACTCTCAAATAATACTTCAAACTACAGGAAACCACAAATTGGAATTTAAAGTGACAGTTACTGACGGTTAAATATAAGCAAAAAATCCTCTAGTAAGAGAGATTAATTGAAGCAGATCTGTAACTCTTAAATCCTATGCAAAACTGTTCAGACTTAGGGGGCTGCTACTGGAGTAAACTACCAGCATCGAGGCTGGTAAGCCACAGTTTCAGTGAAGTGACTAACAGGTATCAATTGTATGACATACATGGTAAGTTCCCATCAAGTGCAGACGGTGGTGTTCTGGGAGATTAGGACCCATCTTAGTACCTGGCATCGTAGTTTCAGCTCCTTGTTGACATCTACAATGCCCTCTAGAGTCTTCACTTTTGCTAATTCTTCACGCAGTTGCTGGTAAACTTGAAGCCTGAAGCAGATCCCAAACATCAAGTCATTTTAGTCATTATTTCTACACTGAGATCAACTGAAAACATACTTACAAAAGCTCTTCATAGATTTCTCTTGCTGCACTTGCCTTTGGTAGAAGCTTATCTTCTTTCTTCTAAGTCCAGAGAAAACCACACATACCCACTTACTCTTTTCCAAATAAATACTTGACACACAACCAAGGTACTTTGGAGATAAGCTAACATGAATATACAGTGCACCAGCTACTCCTCAGGAACTGCCCATGCTCATGCTCTTACTCCGCAATAAATGCAAGATAACTTGCCTCACACTCAACAAGGAGTTAGTTAACTCATGTTTGCCACAAAGTGCATATGTGCATCTGGGAAGTTACCACATAGTAGTTGACGTACTGTGAGTTCACACCCTAGTTATCTTGTGGTAACTTGTTCATTCCCCATGCCCTGTTTTCCAGATATGTAGTTTGCACTTGGCCTCTCAGCCCACATTCTGTCAGCCCACATTCTGTCCAGCCAGGTCCAGGAAAGGAAACCTTGCAGCATACTAATTCTGGCCAAACAAATCCTTGTCTAGAAAACCCAGACACTTGCTGAGCAGGATGAGCCCTGAAAACATGAAGAGTTCTCTGGAGATACTCACGTGTGATGCCAGAGCTTGAAGAGATGAGCCCGAACATAAGACAATGGACAAGGGTACTTCTGCACTATCTCCAGATACTCCTCAGCCATCTCCCACACCAACGGGTTTCGGCCCTCAAACAAAGCTGGGTTATGGAGATTACCTTCTGGGGAATGAAAAGAAATACTCAAACTTTCATTTCAGGATTGAAACAGAAAACAAAAACTAGGCTCTGGAGCTTGATCAGCTCTGTTATGATTCCACCAGCCAGCCACAGACACATCACCCACGTACCCAAAGAGGAACACAGGGTACATAAAACTCTAGTCTGACCTCAGGATACTACATTTCACTATACAATTCTTAATTGAGCCAAATAGCTCATATCTAATTAAAGTACATTTTCCAGAAAGGCATCTGATCTTGACACAAAGACAGTAAAAAAATTGATAAATAGAAAAATCACTGCTTTCGTTGCTCAACTGTTAAATACTTGACAGTGGATGTCTTATCTTATGCCTGTATTAACATTTGTCTGTCCTAAGTACTGCTTCTCACTATGCTTTTCTCTATTAGCTTCAATAAGCCTTTGGTATTTTCTAAGAATAAGATTCTTCAGCCTCCCAGAAAATACGTTTCATTGATTTAACTGTGCATGTGACTGGAAGCTTTTTCTGATGTCTGTCCTAGCTCTTCCTGTAGGAAGCTATGCCAATTCTTTCTTGTCCCAACCCAACATGAGCCATCTACAGGAATATTAATCAGCGGATGCACGGTCTACATCAAGATCCATTCAAAAACTGTTCCACTGATTAACAGATGTCATGAAAATATTCCAGGACAACAGGAGTCCTATATGCCTTTGTCAAGTAATTGGATTTGAGCTGTCCACTCAATGGTACTCGAAGTCCAACATAACAGTTCTTACAAATCTTAAGTGATTCCTGGTCCTGGTAAGAGATGGCCAGTCTAAGAGGAGAGAGAATGGCGACACAGCTTTCAATCAATCAAAGCTGTTCACCAAGTCAGTCTGACATAAGCTTTTAATAAATGTATATGGGGCTGATAAGAGAGTAAGAAATAGTTTGCATTCTCACCCAAGTAAAAAGTCATTTTATTTACCTGCACTCATGACACCATGCACTCCTGTCTTACGGATACATTCTTCAACATCACTGAGACACTGGATGTTTCCATTTGCAAACACAGGAATGCTTACAGCTTTTCTATACCAGTGAATAAAACAGATGCACAAAACTGAGAATTAGAGTGAACCCAGAAATTCTACTCCTGTCACACACGAATTTGTTTACTCTTCAATCCACTGCACAGTCTGCTTAAAATCTACCTTCATCATCTGTTAGTGGAATTCCAGCGAGATGAGCACTGCTCACTGACCTGACAGCCTGAATGTGCTCCCAGGATGCCACACCAGCAAGCGGTCCCTTCTGTTCTTTAGTACGGCCATGCACAGTCAGCAGCTAGAACACAAAGTTCCATGTACTTTTCATGTGCGTGAATCACTGGACAAACCAACTGACAAAAATTTCCTTTCACCCCATACGCTTCATGGATGCCACTGAATTCCCACTGCTATTTCAACAGCGCAACAACTTCGGTATCACAGAAAGGTGTCAGCAGCTCACCTACCATGGCATGGTCTTGGGCTTCTTTCAGCTTGCTATTCCACAGTATGACAAGATCCTATCTTGGGAGAACCCACAGATTTCCTATTGTATTGGCTCCCATTTACGATTCACTTTGGAATTTGTGGTATATTGACCTGGCTTGCTCCTCAGCAGCAGCTCTGAATACTGTCAAGTACTGGCTCTAACTACAGAGCATCTCTTCCAATTTAACTGGAGTTAACTCCTAGAAAGCTGCCTACTTCCTCACTAGTGGCAGTCATCTTTGATACTGGGGTTTTTATTATAGCCCTGTGGATTTCATGCATTCACACTGCCTCCTGCAGCACTACGTTAGACTGAGATGCTCAGCCACCGTGAAGGATGCCACCCGTGCAGTGATTACAAGACAGGCTCTGAAATCATGATGTCTTCTGTATCACACTATTGGCCTGCTGCCTATGACTGCAAATATACACAATGTCTCTGCATCCCATTTTTCCTGCCTGTAAAATGATGTGGCCTATTCATCTCCACCGTAAACCAAGATCTGGTCACCAGATGCTTCACACAGAGACGTGTGTCCAATACAAGAGTACAGGGAGCAGCTGCAACCTTACCTGGCATCCAGCTTTCTCCAGCATCTGTGCATACTTCACTGTCTTGTCAATTTCTGGGAAAACGCGGATTTTGCATGTGATGGGAACAGAGAGCTTCTCATTAGCCAGTAAAACTGGGAAAGATTGAAAAGACAGGTAAGTGGGCTGCACAATGCTATGAAAAGTGCCTACTCTCCTCAAGATCCTAGGTGTGGTATGGAAAAAGCCTGAAAAGTTAATGCTAGACAGTTCTCACAGCTTAAACAATCATCAGTGTCCTCTGCAATCCTTATTGCACAGGTTAATCAAGTAACAGTAAAACATGAAGCACAAAATCTGCATTCTAATAAGAAGGCATAAAATAGTCAACATTTAACAATCCTAATGCTTCCATCACATCAAACCTTCACTTTCAAGGACCATCTCCTCAAATCTTCATCACTGATGCAGGTTTACCATCGTCACAGGCTATTGTACTCTCCTACTCTGCCAACAACATTAATACTCTCTTATCCACCTTTCCTGCAAGAGATGCTTTGCTTCTTTCCAAATCTTCACACACAGTCATGACAAGTAGAGTCTTGTCCATGGCCAACAGAGGCTTTTCAACTGAGTTTGATAACTGCGGACCCAGTTTAGTAGTAAATGTAGGTTATAGAATCAGGGTGAAATCTAGAACAACATGTTAAGCTCCCCCAGTGTTTACACAGTGCATGGGATTGGAAAACTACTAAAAAGATTGCTAACAAAGACAGCCAACAGGAAAACACTGAGCAATGGCATGTCTGAAATTCTCTTTACTTCCAGAGTTTGGATGTACAATGTAACCACCTGCTGTGTTCTAACTCACACCCTAGCAGCTCTATTGATAGGTACTTCCTATCACCCTTTCAAAGGAACAATTAAGGTGTATACAGGCACAAGCAGAAAAGAGTAGTTCATCATATTAGAAAAGGATAGGGAAGAAGCAAGAAGAGGAAGCTCTGACCACCTTTTATACAATAGCCTAATAAGACAACTCTCGTCCTAGACAGCCTGGATTCTCACCCAACTGGATGACCTGGGTTCTCTTCTCACCTTGAGGCTGTTCTGATTTGCATCTTTCACTTCTAAGGAAGATGCCCTAACAACCACATTACGTGCTGGGCAGAAAAGCACTGTCTAGCCTTCCAGGGTCTCAGCAGTCTCTGCGCCAAACATCATTCAAGATTCCCTGGACCACAGGGAACACAAACAGAAGTAAAACTCTAACTTCACGGAATACAGACACTTACTCTGAAGTGGGGTGAAGGCACATTCTCAGCTATACTTAATGACCAAAACCTTGCTTTTTAAATCAATTCTGAATGCATTAAAAAAAAAAAAACAATACTGTTCACAGCTGCTACCAGTAGCCTGAAAACAACCTACACAAATTAGAAGAGAAGCACAGCTTGCTATAGTGCAGACAGAAAGGTATCCTGAGTTGATCAGAAAAGGGCAGCTGTGGCTTCAAGCAGAAACGCTCCTGGCTCCTGAGAACTCCAAAGTGGAAAAGAAAGGCACTGGGAGTTCTGCTGTTTCATAGAACCACAGACTTGTCTGGGTTGGAAGGGACCTAAAGGAACATCTATTTCCAACCCCTGCCACGGGCACGGACACCTTCCACTAGAGCAGGTTGCTCCAAGCCCCTGTGTCCAACCTGGCCTTGAACACTGCCAGGGATGGGGCAGCCACAGGTTCTCTGGGCACCCTGTGCCAGCGCCTCAGTACCCTCACAGGGACGGAATTTACAGACTCCAGAAAAAGCCTATAAAGAATTTCCAACTCTAGTTCCTAGGGCTGGAGAGACATTAAGCCATCATTAGATCGGGGCTTCATTGACTAACTTTCACCTAAAGTGTTTCAGGTACTGAAATCTTTTAGCAGATCTGGAATAAGTTTGTAGTGGGACACTACCAAGTATTTTGAAGGTACCACTGGAATACAGTAAAAAAGAAAGAAAAAAAACCCCAAACCAACAATGCAAACAAACAAAACACAAACACAACCCTCCCCAAAGAAACATGCTGCACATCCTTTCCCCCAAATCCATAAACCTCCTCTCAGTAACGAGTTCATCCCATTCCCTCTCAAAGTGAAGTCTCTCTAAAGTGAGTCCTCTTTAAAGACTTACTCATTCTCTGAAGAAGATCCCATTCCTCTTGCAGAAAGGCTCCGTAGTGACCTATAATAAAATAACATGACAGACTTGTAGAGAAAAGCAGGATTCATAAATATTCACATACAAAGATCCAGACACTCATATGCCTCTGGAAACAGAGTTGCTCTGTCCTGCCCAAACTAGAAGAGTTGAGTCATGCCACCCTAGATTTACAGGACAAACAATGAATCCCCACACCCTACTTCCACTGCTACCCCCTCAGGCTGGTGTGTTGACGCTGGCAGCTCAAAGTCCAACTTTCAGGGTTTTATACCAGGTGTATAAAGATTTCCCTCAGGATAAAAGCCGACTGAAAGATCTACTTGCTCTGTATGCCACTCATCGCTTCCTATTAGTCTTTGAAAGACATTTTAGAAGAGGAATGAACAGTTGCTGAACAACTCTCTTCTCAACATCCTAACATACCCAAAATTTTCAAACACTGGTTCTGGTTTTCAAACATAGCTATCTTTGCAATATCTTTTAGAGATCCAGTAGAAGTTATCCTTTTATATGCTAATGTGAATAAACTCTGTGCAAGTATCACGGAAACAGGAGATTCTATGTGCCCGCATAACATAATTTTAAATGCAGACTTGCAAAATTGGCTTCATTTGGTCCTCTTGATGTTTTACTAGCAACGTTCACATTTCAAACACACCATTTCTCTATTTATGCAGAGTTCAGATTTGCACGTACCTCTCTTTGCAATCATTTGGGGGCAACCCAAGTTTAGGTCTATGGCATCGCAATAATCCTGAGCCAACAGTGCTGCTTGGACAAACACTTCAGGGTCATTGGCACAGAACTGAGAAAGACAAAAAAAAGTGGAATAATCAGGCAATAGCTTTCCTGAAGTACTGACAACACATTATGACATCATTATGAAGCAATCTACTTGCTACAGAAAACAGGCATAATATGCACAGTTAACAATAGCAAACACCCTTTCTCAAAAAAAAAAAACCAAACCCACCACAGACAAAAACTGTGACACTCACCTGCTAAAGATCCTCAACCTTCAAATGACAAAACGAGAAAGATGAGCATTCGAGAGGCAAAGAAATATTTATAGAATATTTTACATGTAATATCCAAGAAAAAGATGGAACAACACTTAAGATCCCTTGTAGAACAAACAGCTACAGTGTTTAATACATAAAGGTAGTGCAGAAGAAAAGAGTTACCTGTGGTGTCTCTGGGTCTTGAGACAATTCAAATTTTGTAGATACCAGTAAGTACCACTGCCTCTCAAATGAATTCTCGTTAGTGTGGAACGTGAAACAGACACACTGGGCTGATAGTCAAATGCTCAGTCTTAAGTATAATTAATATTACATGTAAAACAGTGCAAATATCAATTTATTAAGAAAAAAAAGTAGGTTAATTTGAAGCTGCTTTGTTGAAGAGGACAGAGCCAGACTATTATTCTCATTTATGCTTTTAAACAGATTTTCTTAAATTCATTATTAACAAAAAACAATGCCATCACACCTTTAAATAACATGGATTTAAAATCAAACACATGAGCGGAAGATGTTGCTTAAGCGCTACAGCACTATGTAAATTATGTAACTAAAACAAGAAAAGGCATTTCCTTCTCTGAGATGATTAAAACAGTGGAAAGCCTCCAACCATGCCACATCAGTGAGGACTTTTACACAGTAAAACCCACAACCCACAGGGCTGGCAGGGCTCAGACATGCCTCTGCTTAATCTGTTTCCAAGAGTCTGTGACCAAACCCCAAACCTGCCCAGAAATATTGCAGAACTTGGTAAGGATTGCTGTACCGGGTCAAGCGAAGATTAAGCTAGTTAGCTCTGTGCCCTGTGTCCAATAGTGGCCAGTGCAAAGAATGATAATGCAGCAAGCTCACAGCAACTGCCTCTCTTCAGGTGGGCTGGCCCAAAACACACAGCTTACTGAGCTGGAGATCTGTGTTCAAAAGACGTAGAGCTTTCTAACACTATTTAGATCTCTGCCACCTGTATTTTTCTGCAGCAAAAGAAAGTACCTCTCTAAGAAAAAGGAGAATACACAAAGCTGTACTGAGACAGCCCAAAGGTCCACCTCATCCTGCTCTGATAATGGTCAATAAGAGATGAGTAAGGAACAGCAGAAACTGGAAAACGTCTTCAAACATCTTCTTTGGAAGCAGAAGTGGTGTTTGCTCCACCTAATGACCCTCAAGAGGGTTTTCCTTCATTTGCTTTCCAAACTCATGCGATCTTTCAGTACCCGTTACATCACACAGTAATGATTTTGACAGACTGGAACTATCACTACCTTTATTTAACACTTGTTTCTCATTCATCTTTAAGCCAGTCATACTTTCACAGAGTCTCTTATCTCTCCCCTCAGTCAGGGGAGACACTTCTCTTCCAGGGTGAAGAGTCCTCATCCATTTAACTGCTCCACTTGTGGAAACCACACCATTCCTCTGCTCATGCTTGCTGTCTTTCCCTGCATGCAGCTCTGCAGCCCTCTCCTTCTTTGGGATGGAATGGAGGAACATACCTAAACCTCACAAGCTACTCAAGAAGCAGAAGCAACACAAGCTTTAAAGTGTGTCCTATCTTCCTTGCATCCCTTTTCTCTAGCTATGCACTGAGCTCATTGTTTCAGAGTACTACTCAAAAATCTGTGATCCTCCCTGAACGGTATCAGATCTGGCACAACCCTTGACTCTGGAAGACCAGCTATAACTTTATGTCTAAAGATGAGGTGCAGAGGACTGAAACCCTGTGAGAAGTGTAGTGCTGCAGGTCCCTGTGGTTAAGATACCAAATCCCCTTTGCTACACAAGTGATAAACAGAAAAACACACTTACCTTCATGAGCTAAGTACTGTTAGCAGTATTTAGGGGAAGAAAATGAGATTTCTGTCATCCCATATAACCATTTAAGAATCTGGGTAACACTGATTGGCGTGAACTCATGAGCATCTGGAAAACGTCTGGATTTGTTAATACAAACGAGGTGGATGACAAGGGTGCATTCGGCAATGCCGACTTGCTTTCGTAGCGTTACCCAAGAGCGCACCGCAAGGAGAAGCCCGGGGAGGCCTTCCCG